AAGACTATTCAGTGACGCTCTAATCAAAAGACAGTCGGAAAGTCAAAATCAAATACAGAGAACATTTAACACCTGAATTTTAAAAGGTTGTGTCAAATAAATACATCTTTCTATCTTCATGCATGCATTTCCGCACTCAGTTTCTCGTGTGGATCATACATGTAGTATTACACATCTCATAATGCAGAGACATATATACCATGTCATGTACAATATATGTCTCTGATAAACGTAATTTAAATAGATTTCATACTAAAGATTTCAAAAGTGAATAACGTCATTACAAATGTATCAAGTTGTTTGATTTGGCACTTGAAAATAAAGAACAAATAGTGGGTTCTTTCAATATTCTTTTATGATACTTCCATTTGAACGGATTAAGCAAAACACACAAGTAAGGGGAGTCAAATGAAGTCTTGCCGGCGCACTGATACATGTACATATGACTCAGAATGTTCTCCCAGAAGTATTTCACTAATAAATGTCTACCAGTTAGAAATATCTGTCTATGTGCTAAGGTTTAATTACTATATGTATAAATTTACAAATACATCGTAGGTTTACCAATATAACAATTTAGCAACATGCTTCTTAAGGTGGTACCCAACACCTTGACTAATACTAATTTGGCTGGTTTAATTTTCCTAAAAATTTGTCAAAATGTTTACTTTGACCCTTTGACAAAAATATAAAAATTTCAAACAATTTGAACCAACCACTTTATCAGAAAAAATTCACTGGTTATAAAGCAGTTTGACAATCACTAATTTTGATCATTGAGAATCTTGATATTTCCTTAACAATACAACATGATTAAAACGTTTAGCTGATTTTTACAGAGTTATCTCCCTGTAGTGTTAGGTACCACCTTAAATATTCTGAAAAAAAAAACTTATTTTTATGACAAAAAAATGTAGATAGACAGCTAGATATAGACTGCATGTTATGATGAAATGTTATACTAGTACATGTAAATCTCTATTTTCTGTAGATGAAAGCATTGAAAATAGGCTTCTTTCTTGTGTATTATACATGTGTATGAACTGAGGTCAGTTTATCTCACCAAAATGTGCTTGGACAGCGTGACTCAGCATCTTATGATGGAATGGCAATGTATGTGTACTGTAGATGTAGATGAAAATAGGCTTCTTTCTTATGTATCATGTGTACTCAGGTCAGGTAATCAGTTTATCTGAACACATTCATGACATTGATTAGATAAAACTACATTATTTACTGACCAAATTTCCTAATTTGATGGATGAATCAAGTGTATAAAAATAAAAAATTATTTAAAATACATTTAACAATTATTTTACATATTAAAAGGATTTTTTAGAATTATAAGGTGCAGTTTAACGTGATTTACAATGTACATGTATATGCACATACAAAAAAAGAAGGTTTTTTTTTTAAATTTCATATCAAATCACCATCCAAAATAATCCAGACCTTATGAAAAACTATCACCACCTTTATATTGTACCTGAAAAATATAATATCAAGGAGGCAATAAACTTCAAAATACAGAATATTGACAGTTGTAGAATAAAAGTCAAAATACATGTACATGGGCAATTAAGTGAATGATGCCAATGGCAGTTAAATGTTTGTTTAAACACAAGGATCCCCACATGATCCAATTTAATGGTGGTGGTCCTTCATTCATGAAATTCCAGCACCACTGTTAATTTCTAAGGAAAAACCTTAAATTTAGACATGAAATCAGATGAGTTTGGAAAATAATTCTTAATCAGTAAAATTTGAAGTTTAGAAAGACCAATTCATTTCATATCTATCATTGAGCATGAAAACTGGTGGTCTTGTCCATCCTGACCACCAAAAACCAGGCAGGTCCATGAATTTTGAGTGCAGTATATATGGTCCTGATGTCCAGCTAAAATTTTTGGGTGGTAAATTCTTTTTTTAAGGCTTTCTGATATTTAGTGTAGCTCATGATCACAATGTATATGAATATTTATTTAGGAACCATATATAATTGGTATAGTCTAATAAATTAAATTTATACCTATGGTAATAATTGATAGCAAAAATTTAATTGCAACTACAGGACCACCAGATTTGTAGATTGACATGGTGGCCACTTAATTACCATGCTAAAAAAAAGATTTCAAAAACTCTGTTTTTAATGGTCAAAAAAATTAAGATACATATACATGATATATAATTTATTATGTACAAAATGATGTACATGTATTTTTTATATGTATTTAAAGAGTACATTATTACTTTGTATTGCAAAATTTAAAGGTACAGTGTATCAAATTTATATTCCTTACATTTTTTAAAGAGTTAAATTCTTATTTTATAAGCTCGAACCATAAAAGCTTTTCTGTGGTGATCCCTGTACATGCTTTTTATATAGAATAGAGAATGGAAATAGGAAATGTGTCAAAGAGACAACAACCCGACCAAGAACAGAAAACAGCCCAAGGCCACCAATGGGTCTTCAAAGCAGTGAGAAAATTTGGCACACAGCTGAGTACTTGATTCAGATATAACTAGAACACACCCGCGAAATCGCGTGCGTTGAGAGCGTGGTTGAAAGTATGTAAACTGTTGTAGGATGAATTTTTGTAAAAGATTTTTATGATTGGAGAATTTCACGAAAGGTATCAAAAGTATATAAACATGAACTGATGTCAATACAATATTTTGAATTTTTCACGGTCAACAGTTCAAAAAATTGGATGTAAATCTACAGAATTCATGTCAACGCAAAGGTCAACTATTTGTAGTAACATGAACGCACAATTTTTAGGAGGCGATTTGCTTTGTCACCATGCTTTTTGTTTCTTTGTGCAGAAGGCAGAAAAATCAATATGTTAACCTTTTCAATTTCAGTCACTCGAAACGAATTCCAATAATGAAATCAGATTATCATGTGATACATGTACATTTTTTATTTGCAAATAAGATTTGAATTATGAATAGAGCCATTGTAAATACTCAATATATTAATGAACAATGCGATTTGTGCACAAAACCGTCACATTTTACTGAAATCTGGCTTACATGTACATGTAATAAGGTGTTGACTTTTAAGAAAGCAAATTAATTCTAAAATGGGGTGCTTATTACGTCATATGAATAGACCCATAATAAAATACTCAATAAACCACAACCACTATAAATTGACAACGCCACAATGCGATTTGTGCACAAAAACGTCATATTTTACTGAAATGGTGTCAGACTTTTCAGTGGGAAAGTTCAAACTTTACTTTATCCATAGATTTGTTTTCATTTTCACATGGCCTGGGTTGTTATATTCGTTAATTTTATCCCTTGCTTACGGCTACGCTCAGTTTAAAATTCCAAGAAGTCGGATTTTTATCGCTTCCAGGGACCGAAGGAATGTTTGATACCAGTTCCTGTAGCTCAGGTACCCATAACATTGTATGTAATCCAGTTAGGTGTTAATGTTTTTTGTAAATTTACCAAAATTCTGTTTCATTTTAAACAGTCCTAAACAGAAGTCTTGTCTATGACCTAAAAGTCCGTCCGATGACGGAAACAATATCCTGAAGCCTTTATTTTCGTTTTCCTCCCAAAATAACCCAAACGGAATAATCATAAGCGAGGATGACAAATGCGACTATGCATGTTACCTATAGGACACAGAGGCATGGTGATTAATTTATTGTGGAAGGAAGAGAAGCGACACACAAAATGAGGTCTTCTCATTTAATAGTATAGATATAATTTACATGTGCATGTAACAGTCTTCACAAATCTTGATTTACAAGCACAAAAACCAGTCAAGGGTCTAACTTAAATAAGTTATTAGAGAAAGATAACATACATTTGTTATTGTGGGCTAAAAAATAAAAAATCTGTGATAACATATGTATGTTACATGTTTCAAAGGGGCATTTTACATCCTTTATTTTGTTAAATTGTATACAAGTTCTATTGATATTATAATTGTCTTTATGTATATTAAACTTTAGAAAGATATAACAGTCCATAGTTTGCCAATCATGCCTAACACACCCATGTTATAACAGAAAAAATATGCCTGTAATAACTAAAGGGTGTTATTACAGATTCTCTACATCTCTTCAAAGCCTTTTCTCAGACATATCACAATGTATTTTAATTTATTGTAATAAATAATGATTAGATAAAATTGAGAATGGAAATGGGGAATGTGTCAAAGAGACAACAACCCGACCATAGAACAGACAACAGCAGAAGGTCACCAACAGGTCTTCAATGCAGCGAGAAATTCCCGCACCCGGAGGCGTCCTTCAGCTGGCCCCTAAACAAATATATATACTAGTTCAGTGATAATGAACATGTAATGAGGTTCTGCGCAAGCTTCCTAGTCATTCCCAAGTGTCTCATGTAATAAGTTAAATGCCTGTAATAACTAAGCCTTGTTATTACAGCTAAGTTTATCACTTAAAAGCATGTCTCATTGATTTACCATGGTTGATCAAAAATGTATTAATTGAATTGGAAAATTAGTTTTCAAGGTTATGCATTAAGTTACTGCGCAAGTTTCAAGAATTCCCAAGTGCCCACTGAAAATAAAAAAAACTATGATACATTTAACTGATAACAAACATATGTTACTACAGATTAAGAGAAAGTATCCGTAATAACACATGTATGTTATTTTTCTCTAATAACTTATTCAAGTTACACTCTTGACTGAAAACCATCATAAAATTTCTTTGAATTTAGACATGCTAGATGACGTATGAGGACCTTTTTGTTACTTTCCCAACAACAATTTTACTGGACTGGGCTGTACATGTACTCCCAAGGACTGAGATTATGGACTTTCAATGGTGTATTTAAATTCAGTGTACATTCATGAAAGTGTTATCTAATTTTCAAAAAATAAGAATTCAGAATTGGACTTAAACTAAAACTATTTCATCCTTCTTGGAAAGAAAAACAGGTTTCTTGGCAGTGCAGAGCAATAAGTATGTACATGTAGTGCACAGCCATATTAAACTTGTACATACCGAGGTATTTCAGTCAGAATAAGTTTGACAACCTTCAAATTCCCTCCAACTACTGCAAAGTGGAGACATGTAGCCCCTTTTTTAGTCTTCAACAAGAGATCACAGCTAGTATTGTTTATAATCCAATGCACAACCAAAAGCTGTCCATATAATGAGGCAATATGAAGGGGCGTGGCTCCAACATCGTCACCTTCATCAATATTTACTTGAGTATTGGTCCACAACCATTTCACAATTTCCAAACTCCCTGACGCCGCTGCCTCATGGAAGGCAGTAGATCCGAATTTTGTTTTCTTCGACACGTTAAACTTTTTTGTATTTATAAGATATTCAGCTAACGTCACGTTCCCAACCCTACAAACATAATGTAAACAATTGGCCCCATCATCGTCTGTCGTGCTTTCGTCAATATTTTGTGACTGAATGAAAGCCAGATCACCCTTTTTAGCTGCAGAAAATATCCCTTTCATTTCTGTATACACAAAATTGGCATTCTTTATGTCGATCCAGTTTATTAAATTTCAGTAATGTTATCTGATCTATTGGATTGTCATCTGTCCAAAATAACTCCGGAAGTTTATACAACCTGTCTAAAAATGGAATCGGAGTCGGACATTTCTGGTTTTCCGTTTGGTCCGTAAAAAATGTCTACTCACAAAAGATGAAGGTTTGGTGCCTAACTAAATTAATACATGTGGTACAAGCAAGTCCGACGAAAGATCATGCTTACTAGACCATAGTGTTGCATTATATGCAAGGCTTTAACAAATGAAAAATATATTCAGAAAAAAACCTTTTCTAAAGTCTACATCAAGGATTTGTATTACCATACACATCCTCGTCTACATGCAGTAGTGGTCAAAATAAATAAAAATATGAATTTGGTTGATTATAATGGAGATATTTTCACATTAGTTGCCCTTCAAACAAAATGAACAAATTGAAACAAGTCAAACACAAAGTTCGTCAATGGAAAAAAAAAGTAATTTGTTATTGAGTAATGTATCGATGCCCTGCAATATATATTGTCCGTCAACCTATTTATATTTTTCATGATTGTATAAAATCTCTTTATTTGCAGGATAACTTCTTGTACTTAGTGAAATTATTTTCTCAATGAATCTTTATTTCTTTTCTGTTTCTTTTATGTAATTATAGGTCACCGTACGGCCTTCAACAATGAGAAAAAAAAAACAATATCGTATAGTCAGCTACAGTACGGTATAGCCGGTCAACACTGCGGTTGCGAAATTTTCATTATGCTTTGGCAAGATGCGTATTGCCATTGAATTGCAACTTTTCCTCCCGAAGGTCGATTAATTGTTCTCTCGGACTACTTGATTACTCCCACCAATAAAAAATGACCACCAATGCCATGGTGCAGTGTCAAAATAATCAGTATATTGATGGTGGCCGCAAAATGGTAGAAGTAGAAGTAGGCCAACTTGCAAGTGAGTTGACCGGCCTGATGTAGAGTTAAACTGCAGTGTGTTGAATGTGGAGTTAAACTGACACCAAAAGTCAGTGAATCAATTCAAAATTGGTTAAGAACTTACAAATTCAAAATATGCTATTCATTTATTTGAAGAAAATCATTAAAGCAAATTAAAAAGAAAAGATCATAATCCATAATATCGTCAATGCCACATATTCTTATCGCAGATCTAGTTGTAACCATATCATTTTCCTGAAACAAAAAAACAAATAAAATTCAATTTCTTAAAGATCCAATAGGAAAACAATTTTAAAGAAAAATATTTAAACTTCCACTTAAATACATCCTGTCGATACCTATGTTTTATCATTACACAATGTCATGTTTTTCTCTGACTATTTTAAAATTAGTAATGACGTCTTTACTCTAAATCTTTTGGATGTTGGATGTGTATACTAATATTTTAGTCTATAAATACATTTATTTATTAGATGTTATCGGCTTTGAATTAGCTTTCAGTAACTGCGAGTACTCTCAGATCCGTAGTTATGTGTGTGTGTGTTTTTTGTATCGATCTGATGAGGTAAGCCCTTTTCAATTGATTTTTATAGTTTGTTTTATGTTTTACTGTTACACCACTGTCCCAGGTTAGGAGGATGGTTTGGCGCTAGCAAACATGTTTAACCCCGCCACATTATGTATGTGCCAGCCTGTCCCAAGTCAAGAGCCTGTAATTTAATGGTTGTCGTTTGTTGCTGTATTCCGTATTTGTTTTTCGTTTATTGCTGTGTACATAAATCAGCTCGTTAGTTTTTTCTTTTAAATTTTTTTACATTTGTCATTTCGGGGTCTTTTAAAGCCTAAAATGCGGTAAGAGTTTTGCCCATTGTCGAAGGCCGTACGGTGAACTATAGTTGTTAACTTCTATGTCATTTGTTCTCTGGTTGAGAGTTGTCTCATTGACAATCATACCACAACTTATACGTAGCAAGAATGACGGTTGAAGGAAAATATATTAGTTTTGTCTCATCAGGGGGTATATAGGATTCAACAACTGCATGATATGTACATATATGAATTCATGTCTTTTTTAAAATTATTTTTGAGATGTATTATGTAATGTGTTATTTTGTTTTCTTGTATGCCATCAACCCCATTGGGGGTATAATAGTGCATTATTTTCAATAAATTATATGAACAATAGAAATGTGCCCTAAACATTCCTTTGAAATCTAAAAGCTACGTACTGGATCCCAATTATGGTCACATTAACAATAAAGACTGAGCAACACGAACCACACCAAAAACCGGGGGTGACCAAAAATCTAAAAACTGTACACAAAACACAACATAGAAAACTAAAGACTGAGCAACACGAACCCCACCAAAAACCGGGGTTAATCTCAGGTGCTCCGGAAGGGAAAACATGTGGCACCCGTCGTGTTGCTAAAATTTATGCATCAGTTAAATAGCATACTGAAACACCATATCGTAATTATCAGACACTTTTATGGCTGTTTAAACCGTTATAACGACTTTCCAGCCATAGGCGGATCCAGAGGGGGGGGGGGGCTGGGGGGCCCGGGCCCCCCCCCCCCCTTTCATGGGAAAAATTTGGTTGATTATATAGGGAATCACTGAAGCATGACTGGAGCGGCCCCCCCTTAGGTCAGTCAGCGGGCCCCCCTTAGGAAAAGTTCTGGATCCGCCACTGCCAGCATTGCATAAAAGAGTATCGGCAAAACTTAAAAATAACAGATTTAAGATCGAATTCCGCCGTCGTGGCAAGGTGTGTTCGACTTCGATCTTAATCAACTAAAATTGTAGTTTTCCTACCGAAGGTCGGTTATTCTCTCCTGGTATTCTGACTTCCTCCACGAGGAAAAAACTGGCCACCAGCCAAGAGTGCTGAATGTGGCGTTAAACACCAAGAATCAATCAAGACTGATTTATTCCAGTTATTTCAAACATATAAAGAAACTCACCGAAATATCTCTCCAACATTTGAACATCTTCGATTATGACATTCAGGACCTCTGTATCTTCAATCATATATTGATCAATTTCTCCAATTGCTGAGTCTGTGAAAAAAAGTTGATGAATAGTTATCAAAATATTAGAAACGGCACTCTAATCTCTTTCAGTCACAGTTTTTTTTTTGTATATAAACGTACCACGTTCATTGGAACACGCATAAAAAAAACCTCAGAAGCTTATTGATCTTAGAATATATATTTCAAAATTGATATCAGTTTAAAAAAACAAGCCTCAAATCATATTCTTAAGACAAAACCAATAAGTACAGACAAGTGCGCTGATATACAATCTGAGTAATGTAACGAAGAAAAATGAAAGAATAAAAATGAAAATTACATACCGAAACGTCCTTGAATTTCGGCCAACTCGGTTTTCAAATCACCATTGTCTTTTGAGTCCAGATTAATATCTAGTAAGCTGAAAGCCGAATATTGCCCGAACCAACTGTCTCGGATGTAATCAACATCGTCTTTGATTTGTTCCCGATCTTTCTTTTCTGGAATTATTTTTTTTATCTTTTTGAACCGCTTCTCCATAGCCTTCGACATTCTTTTCATATCTTTAATTAAACATTCTGTTTCTGGAAGTTAAAGTTAGAGATGTATATAATATTGCTTACATGGAATAGAAATTTCTTTTTTGGGGTTAGGAAAAACATTCTGGAATATGATACCTTAATTACTAAAATACATTCTACATAGCTTTATATTTACACCTATGCGTATATAATATGTTTTCAAACAAGGGAAGATTATATAGCATTATTTATAACAAAGTTTCCATAACGATCTTCTGTTACGAGTAATAACTAAACGTTAACACCGATATTGAGGGAATATGGATGGGGCTCCTTCATTTCTGCATTCTTTAATTTTTAGGCCATTTTTATCTACTCTTTATATTTTTTGCCCATTTTTATCTACTCTTTATATTTTAGCATTTCGTTATTCCCTATTTCTTTAATTTTTTGGTCTATTTTTCTCTATTCTTTATATTTTTTGCCCATTATTCTCTATTCTGTAAACTCCCATCCATGCACACACTGGCTTATCTTTCATGTTGAAAACTGAATTTTCACCTTCTTTTTTCCCACCTTCTTTTCCTCAAAATTAGTTATGATGCCTAACCTTGCATTGCATCATTAAATTATTTTTAGAATACTGCTATATGTCAACGACTAATATAAATTGATGAATATAAATGTAATATTTGCTACTGAATATTGAACAACCTTAAATATATGGATTAAATTTACTAAAATTATCAGGCGCGTAGCAACCCGTACGCAATAACGCAGTTGCGTACACATCGAAAATTTGACAAAAAATAAAAATATGGCAAATCTAGTAAGAATAAAACTAAAGTAATAGAATAAATTAAAAAGTATTATAAAAATATGCTAATAGTCACTTTGTAACTATATTTCGTTCCGGAAACTAGTCTACTCTTTTCAATCGTGATTGTGTTGCTGATGCAGACAATTAAAATAGCTGAGTCCTCGGGGTGTCAGAACACAACTGTTACGGCTGCAATGCCTCTTTTCTGAAGATTTCAAAATAACTGATGAAATAAAATATGACGTTCTTGGGCAACAAGTCATTCTTATGATTATCCTGTGAGATATGTATAGTCTTACATACGTCGTCATAACAGATTTGTTTAAATAGTCCAGTCAAACTTAATATAAACTTAAGATTGTTAATGGTAATTTTCTTACAACGTCTTCGTCGTTTTTTTTAATTTGACGATCAACGGGTTTTTACTTTTTTATTCTACGTTCGGTCGTGCAAGACGGGTGCCTCGTTCAACGTGTTCCCCCGATTTAACTATACGTGCCTCGAGATTAAAAGTGCTTGTTCTCCTTGCTTTGTAAAAATAAAATACTCTCGATTTGGAAGTTGATAAATAGAAATCGGAAACAATTTGATACTTTTCCTTGTAGATTTCAGGACTTCAAACGTATTTATATATAGTTAAACGTTTCCAAATTATGATATTATAAACAAGGATTTATATTTGGGAAACTTTAATATACTAAACGTATATGCATGTATGCCGGTCTCGACGGCAACGGCAGAACGATCTTTCGGTACCATGAGA